ATCCTCCTTGAGGTAATTCGATGGCCGCCTCATTTTGTGTCAGAACGACATGTGATATACCACATCGAGTATTTCCATGTTGTCAGCTATATGTCATTTTTATCAAATTTTGAGATCGCATTTCTGTTGTCACGAGACCAAAGGATACACTTACCAAATTTGACAAACAAATTTATCGTGATACAGGCAGGGGTTTTCAAAGGAATAATATCGCATTTGAGTGCAACTTTGAAATCAGTATCTAATGTGATATTTCTCTTCTATAAATCCCTGCCTTTATTACGGTAAATTTGTTAGTAGAATTTGGTAAGTGAATTCATTCGTCTCGTGACAACAGAAACGCGATCTCAAAATTTGATAAAAATCACAAATAGCTGAAAACACGGAACCAATCGATGCGATATATCGCATGTCGTTCTGACACAAAAGATGATGGTCATTGCATCATCCTAAGTGGCGTGCGCAATACTTGAACGGCCCTTCAAGAAACTCGTACTCTTGAAATAGACGAAATTTTTCGATTAGGACCTTCAATCCCTAGCTTAAGGTAGAATCAGCTTATGTGCCATTAGTTTGTTGTCTATGCAGATAGGTGTTTTTATCCGTGAGCCTGAAATTATAATTCCTCCCTCCTCACAAATACAGTCCAAATTTTCAAGGCAAACGCTTATCTCTGCATCTAATTTTGCGCGACTCATGAAAGCACAACATCAACGATAAAAAATACATCAATGTATGGTACAACAACAGGGACTGTGTTAAGATTTTAGGTATTTACTTGATCGATTGGTGGGATCACTCTTGACGCCGTCCAAAATTTTGCAAAGTTCAACACGAGAATATCAGATGTTGTTTTACTCAACGCAAGCCAAGCGAATTTTTAATAACTTATCCTCCGACGTCATTCAGAACGACCCTCCAAACATTCCCTCTCCTCCCTTTTATTAACACTCACTTGTCAGGAATTAGGATTATTTTATCATGGAATTCTGATTATTTCTCCGAGTTTTCTGATCCCATTTTATAGGTAGATTTGTTTATCGTTGTCTGCAAATTTCTCATGTTAACAATTAGACTACATTTTACATTAAGGAACTATTATTTCCGACCTATCATATCAACTAATCACACAGATGTTGTCTTTTATAATAAGCCAGAAATCCAAAAAGTAGTTCAATCAATCTTTTTTCTTTGAATCAACTCTTTCATCATTCCTATCCATGCATGCTTCTTTGCCTTCAGATCCTTCGTCATTTCTATCTAAGCATGCTTCTTGCCTTCAGATCCTTCACCATCTCTATCTACGTCTATTCCTTGTCTTCAGCCCCTTCATCATTCCTATCTATGCTTACTTCTTGTCCTCAGCTTCTTTATCTTTTCTATCCCTGCTTACTTCTTGTCCTTCCAATTTTTCTTGTTTCCCTCTTATCTTTAGGTACCTAAGGTAAGTATATTTTGCAAGAGGTAAGTATATCAGGTAAGTATATCATGTAAGTATAGCATGTAAGTATATCATGTAAGTATATCAGGTAAAGTATATCAGGTAAGTGTATATTGTTTATATTTTATTTTATTTAATTGAATTTCATTTCATTTCATTCCATCTCATCTCATCCCAGTCCATCCCATCCCAGTTCATCCCATTCCATCTCATTCCATCTCATTCCATCTCATTCCATCTCATTTCATCACACGCAGGTGCGTCCACACAGCTCGTCCGACGGCCGGACGAGCGCTCCGCCGAGCAGTCCGCCGGACGCTCGGTCTCCGGACAGAGCGTCCGGGAGGCTGTTCGACGTATCGCTCATCCGACGGTCGGACGAACCGTGTGGACGCACCGTTGACTCCGAGGTTCTCATTACACGAGCATGTGTCTGACCGGGCCCCTGTCCAAGC